ACAGAGTGAGACTCCAACTCAAAAAAAACCAAAAAAAACCAAAACAAACAAAAACAAACAAACAAACAGAAGTAACAATCTGAAATTAGAGGCAACTGCAGAGAGACAAAGTTTTTTGGCTTGCTGTGTCTATAGTTATAGATGCATTTGTTTATTTTTTGCTTTTGGAAACTCTGAGAAGATGCTCTCAGCTGCTAACTTCGTAATTATGACCTTTTAAATTTGTGTAAAATAAAGCAATATCTGTACTTAGAAGTTTAGCTTCTTATGTAAATATATTGTTCCATATAGAATATATAAACTAGGTAAAGGTAAATTTACTTGAAATTGGTACACTCGACATTCTAGTTGTTGTTTCTTCTTCTGCAAAGCAATTAACTTCAACATGTATCAAGATCAATGTATACACAAACTGTGTCTTAACAACATAATTTCTATTTTTCCCTGTAAATCCTATTTATTTCACTATATTAATGCAACCCATTCTCATCATGTATCTTTTATGGCAAGTAACTTTAGTATTAAAATCAAAATGTAAAAGTCTTTAAAAATTAAAATATCTGCTATTATAGTATAATTTAGTCCTAATTTTAAAAGTTGGTTTAAAATGTCAGTCTGTTGAAGGGATAAAATATAAAAGTCTTAGTCTTAAAGATACTCATTTGCTCTGAAGAGCTCAGTCTAGTTACTTTGACTTCTATCCTATCTACGCTATAGGATTTCCAAACCTCTTGAGGGAATTACAGTTTCCAACGATCCCTTTGCTTCTTCATTTTTTAAAAATAAGTTCCTAACAAAATTAATCTACTCATTTTTTTCTCCACTAACTCATCTCTCAAGAGCTGAGTAAAGAAATGACTGCTTTTAAATAATATTCTTTTTGCAAAACAATTTCTAAAAGAACTAGAAATTGACCTTCCATATAACCCGCAACCCCCCTACTGGGAATATACCCAGAGTAACTCAAATCATTCTACAAAAAAGATATCTGCACACACATGTTTACTGCAACACTATTCACAATAACAAAATCATGGAATCAACTGTGCTGCCCATCAAAAC